TCTCTCTCTCTCTCTCTCTCTCTCTCTCTCTCTCTCTCTCTCTCTCTGTGTGTGTGTGTGTGTGTGTTTGTTTTAACATAGGGTTTCTCTGTGTAGCCTTGTAGGATTTCAGGTCTCAGTTCCAACTTAAAATTGAAAGAATCCCACTGTCCCAGGACACATCCTGGGAGGGGCACAGAAGGCCTAGAGCACACAGACACATTCCAGGAGAACCAAGATGAGAGGTAATCGGGAAGCTGGGCCCTTAACATGGTAAACCTGGGCAAACGGAAGACACTCATTGTCATAATCTGAGTCACCTAGAGACCTGGGAAGGTCAGCCTTTGTGGTTGCTTGTGAACTCTATATAAAAACTGTTCCCAACTTTGGCTCGGGTTTCCTCTTGTCTGTGTGCAAGAGAACCCCAGCGCACCAGTTATTATTATTACTATCATGGCAGCAAATCCTCTGTCCGTGTGTGTTTCTGCGGGAGCGCGTCCCCTGGTTTGGAACTTAGAGTCTCACACCTCCGCTGCTCTGGAAGTCACTATGTAACCCAGGCTACCCTCCAACTCACAGATCTGCCTGCCTCTGCCTCCTGAGTGCTGGGATTAAAGGTGTGCACCACCACCATACTTGGCTTCTGTCTTTTTTAAAACATATATTTTGAAATTTTTATTTTCCTTAATGTGGAATGCTTCACAGCATTGTGTTCACCCTTGCTCAGGACTATGCTAACCTCTGTATTGTTCCAATTTTAGTATATGTGCTGCTGAAGCAAACACTGTTTGTTTGTTTATTTTGAGCCAGGGTCATCCTATGCAGCTCTAGCTAGACTGGAACTCACTATGTAGAGCAGGCTGGCCAGAAGCACAAAGATCTACCTGCTTCTGCCTCCCAAGTGCTGAGATTAAAGGTGTGTGCCACCATGCAGCTGATTGATGGAGATGTGGCTTGGTCTGGTCATCAGGCTTGGCGTGGCAAGTGTCTTAACCCACTCAGCCATGTTGCTGCCTGCCTGATGTGTTTATAAAAAGGTAAAGAGACAAAGAGAGTATGTCCTGTGGGTGTGTGGAGAGGTGTGGGGGAAGGGGATGTCTCAGCGGGCCCATGCAGAGGCATCTCTTCTCCCTGAGGGACCAGTCACACACCGGTATAGCATAGAATAGAGTTTATTCAGGGCATGGGGAAGGGAGCCAGGAGGGTAGTAGAGGCAGAGAGAGAGAGAGAGAGAGAGAGAGAGAGAGAGAGAGAGAGAGAGATTGAGAGAGAAGTAGAGGCCGGCCAGACCACGTGGAGATAGGGGCAAGGGAATCGGGAGGGACAAGGGGACAGAGAGAAGCTGGAGACAAGAGAGCAAGAGAGAGAGGAGGAAGCAAGCAGCCCCTTTTATAGTGGACCAGGCCTACCTGGCTGTTGCCAGGTAACTGTGGGGAGGAGCATACCTGGCTGTTGCCAGGTAACTGTGGAGATTGAGTTTAGACAATACTAACACTGTCCTCCCCTTTATCCCTTAATAAACTGCTTCTATTCCCACATGTACCTGGTGCAATTCTTTGTTTTGGGACATAAGTCTCGGGGAAACGTCAGTGAGCACTCTCAGAGCTCTGCCCCATGCCAGTGTTGTTACCAGGCATCTGAGATGAGGCATGAGGACTTAGTGCTCATGCAGAGTTCCAGTTTTACAAGACAGAAGTTCTGGAGATGGTCCGTCGTAATGGCAGTATCACAGTGTGAATGAGCTGCGTGCATGAACCACACCAGCACTTGGGAGGCAGAGGCAGGCAGATTTCTGAGTTCGAGGCCAGCCTGGTCTACAGAGTGAGTTCCAGGACAGCCAGGGCTACACAGAGAAACCCTGTCTTGAAAAACCAAAAAAAAAAAAAAAAAGAAAGAAAAAAAAAGAAAAAAAGAAAAAAGAAAAAGAGAGAGAGAAAAAGAAAGAAAGAAAAGGTTCAAATTGATGTTTTGTTATGTGTATCTTTGCACCAACTTCTCCTCAAACAAAACATCAACTGGTTGGCACAGAGTGACCTCAGTCTTCGCTTTAGAAAAATCTTAAGAACCAGCCCAGCCCCTGCATCTCCATTCTGAGAGAAAAACAGGGAGATCCTGGAATGGGACCCACAGCCATGTTCTCTGATGGAGCTGTGAGGCACCTACAGGGGTGTGGGAAAGCTGCAGAGAGACTCCCCTTCTAGGAGTGACCTTAAACACCAGGACTCCAGTGTCGTTCTCTTAGACTGCCTTTGCTCGCCTCTGAGCTAGGAATGATGGTCCCTGTGCCCTGAAGCATTTCTCTCAGCTCTCCACCTTCTTTATCCCTGTCCCATCCCACGTGGAAACTTCTTTCCCCAGTTTAGACAATGACAGCCTGAAGACACTATCCCTCTGAGGGTGGTGGTCATAACCATCATTGTAATCTTAGTATGTGGGGGGCTGAGACAGAGGCCACCCTGGTCCTGTGAGACCCAGGTTTTGTTTTGTCTGTTTTGTTTTTTTAAGCATCGTGGTTGGAATGTAGCTCAGTTGGAGGAGCACTTGTCCAGAATGTACAAAGACCTATATTCCATCCTAGCGATACAGAACTAGACATGGTGGTGACACACCTGCCATACCAGCACTGAGGAGATGAGTGACAGTAGATCAGAAGTTCAAAGTCATCTTGGCTGTGTAGCAAGCTTGAAGTTAGCCTAGGCTACATGAGACCCCTTCTCAAGGAGGGCGTGGGTAGAGGGTAGCTGGGGAGATGGCTCAGAGGTAAGCAGTTGCAGAGAACTGAGAGATTCCAAGCTTTATGGTCAAGTAGTTTACATTTACCAGCTTTAGCTCCAGGGGACCTGACACCTATAGCCTCCCCAGGCACCTGCACTCAGGTCCCCACACAGAAACACATTCTGGGAAAGTCCTTCCTTCTTTCCCACCATCCAAGAAAGAAATTCTTTTTCAATGGAGGATGGAGAGCGGCCCCATGTGTCTCCTCTCCCGGAGCAGACCTGATGTTGGTGGTTGGATAGGAAAGCCTGTGCCTGTGTGATCTGCCTGCCTATGTTTCAGAGTGCTGGGATTGAAGGCGGATTCCCTGACTTTAAAGGTCGTCTGCCAAAGGCTTTTTAAACCTAAGACCCAAGGGAAACTAAAGTCCGGTGTTGGTTGGGTGGTCCATTCTTCTCCCAGACCCAAGGACAGCAGATCCCGTCTCCCCTCTCCTTTCTTTCCTTTTCTCTTCCTCCTGACATCAGGTGGCCAAGGACCTGGGGAAATTCCTTAGTTTTTTGTGCCATAGATTTTGGTGCTTCTAGCAGGAGAACGGGGATCCCCAGGAACGCTCACCGTGCCTGGTCTACTCTCTTGACGCTGCGGAGGGATCATGGCGCCTCTTAGTGGCGGTACTGGGAGGAGACTTCAGAATTTGGACATCCCACTGGTCTCAGTTCCTTTAGATTAGCTTCGTCACCAGGGACAAGAATTCCAAGTCTGTCTGATTTGTGACAAGTTCTAGGAAAATAAAGGCCAGTGAGACCTGGTAGGATGCTATGTGCTCGCCACAGGCAGGGATTCATAGAAGTAAGGGCGCCAAATTTCTTAAGGACTACCCTGAGTTAGAAAAGGGGTGGCCACAGCAAGGGCACCAGGACCTATGGAGGCCTTGGAGCCACAGCTAGGAACTTTGCAGTAGGGAATGAAACGGATGCGGTGGGGAGGAGGTAGGAGGGCCAGAATCCTCAGAGTTTGTTAAAAGGTTTAACCTGGAGTCACAGTAGGTCTTGGGCAGGCTAGGGATGGATCAGACATGTACTATGGGGAGAGAAGGGTCTGGTTCGTGGAAAGAGAATCTGTAACAATCACGAGCTCCAGCAAAAGAGAATGGCGTCCCTAAACTGATGGGAGTGGAGATAGATAGATGCCTTAGGGCTTAAGGCTGCTCTTGTGAGGACCTAGGTTGGGTTTACAACCATCTGATCTGATTGATAGCCTCCGAAGGCACAAGGCATACAAGTGGTGAACATATATAATGCAGGTGAACACCCACACCATACACACACACACACACACACACACACACACACACACACACACATATATATATATATCTCCCTGAAGGACTGAGACTCTGCCACATGCCTCAACGACCCCTGTGCCTTCACACAGATCTCAGGAACAGAGAGATACAGGTTGCTATGGACCCAATGGGGAAATGTAATAAAGGTTGACAAATCACAGATGCACATGCCCTTCCACCCAGTGTCTCCCAGATTTCTAGCTCAAGTGTAAAAATGCCACAACACAGTGATTCACTGCAGCAGTGTTTGTGTTGGGACAGGCTGGAAACAACCTAAGTGCCCATCCTAGAGGGCTGGCTAAATAAATCATGGCCCAGCATATGGGGAACAGTGTGTGTCTGTCGTCAGAAATGAGGAAGTGTTCTGTGAATTGATTCAGGAGTGATTGATTCCATGATATGTTGCCAAGTAAAAAAAAAAGGAAGGGAAGGAGGGAGTGTCCAGTAAGAGGCCATTTGTGGTCAGCCGAGGGACAGATGGATTTATATAGTAATGAGTCATACGAGAACCCCCAGGGAAGTCAGTAAAAGAACCATTCACTACAGCGAGAATAGAGCAATAGAGCCAACTTATGGGTTAACTGTTCCTCTTTTAAGTGGGGTGTGGAATATGTATACTATTTTGGGTTCAGGGGTATAGTTTTTCTCCAAAGATATGAACAAGAAACTGCCCATCAGTCACCTACAGAGAAAAGTTGGACAAGCATGAGGATCTGAGTTCAAATCTTAGCACCCATGCAAAAAACAAGCACTACATGCATGCCTGGATGTCGGCACTGGAGAGGCAGAGACAGGAGCAAAGCTTGGGTTTATTGGCAGTACAATGCAAACTAACAGGTGAGCTCTAGGTTCAGTAAGAAAGGCTCCTGTCTCAAAAACAAATAAGGGCTGGGGAGATGGTTAAGAGAGCTGGCTGTTCTTCCTAAGGGCCTGGGTTAGAATTCTAATATCCAAATGTTGACTCACAACAGTCTATAACTCCAGTCCCAGGGGACCCAACACCCTCTTCTGGAGGTCAGAGGACAACTTTCAACAGTTGGTTCTAACCTTTCACTACATGGGTTCAGGGATGGAACTCAGGTCTTCAAATTTAGCACTAAGTGCCTTTACCAGTGAGCCATCTCACCAGTTTGAGAACATGTATTCTTTTCAAACATTTCCCAGAACTCTTCTTCAGACAGACTCGATGCTGGACACAAAACAAATCCAAACAAACTTCAAGGAACACAGTCAAAGTGGTATATTGTCTGGTATCAGTGGAATTAGGCCAAAAGTTTATAAATGTCATTTAAAAATAATCAAATTTTGGCTGTTGGGTGATAGACTTATAAAGGAACTTCTATATTGAGGAAAAAAATCAGCTGAACACATGCCTTTAATCCCAGCACTTAGGAGGCAGAAGCAGGTGGATCTCTGAATATGAAGCCAGCCTGGTCTACAGAGTGCGTTCCAGGACAGCGAGGGTTACATAGAGAGACTCTGTCTCAGAAACAAACAAAACAAAACAAAACAAAACAAAACACAAATGGACGTATAGCCTTGGGGGTTTCCAGATTTAGAGCTCAGCAATGGAAGGGCAGAGAGCATGTTACCATGGTCTGTGCTTGGCTATGCTTGTTGCTTGTGGTACTGACACAGATACTGGTAAATTCTATGCTATCAAAATGTCAGCCTGCTCTTTCTTCCTTTCCTTCCTTTTTTTTTTCTTTTGAAGGCAGGTGG